CGACCGGTCGCTCCAGTCGTGCTGTGACGTTTCCTTACGTGTTTTCAACTGTGTTTTCGATGGCTATCGCTTTCCACATGATTTCAGAAGCTTTGTGGGTCACTTCTGAGTTAAATGAATGTTGACTACGTGCTGGATAAGTTGGGAGAGCACTCATGGCTAATTGGTTATCTTATTTCAAAGATATCACTCTCCATTTTTGGTGTAAGTGGGAGGTGGCTGAGTTGGATTCTATTTACCTATTTGATCTGACATTTAGTCTAAGTGGTGACTAAAGGGAAGAACGTGGAGGACAATCAGATATCCTATCTCTTGTCCATTGGCTTGTGTAGGTAATGGGATGAAGTAAGATAACACAAGGGAGAAAGAATGTTGAACTAATGTAGTGGCAAAAGCTGGAAACAAGTTAGAGTTTCTTGTGAGAGCTTTGTTTCAGAAAAGCCAAGGGTGAGAGCAAGAGAGTTCTCTAAGTGTATCAAGGTGTTGAGCAAGGGTGTGAGAGAAACAGATTGTGAGGGTAGTGTTCTAAGGGGGTTTCCTTTGTAAACCAAAGTTGTAACCTATCTTCATTAGTGAAATTTCTCAAGGTGATCACCAAAGAGGATGTAGGCAATTTGCTGAACCTCTATAAACACTTGTGTCATTTGTGCTTGGTTAATTTCGTGTGTGTGTGTAAGACTCATCCATCATTGAGTTCTTTGTCTTAAGTCCATCAACAACAAGATCTTAAAAGGGCAGTGAGTTAGTCTTTAATTCACAACATAATATGGTTTGCTGAAAGGTCCAAATCACCTAATGTGGATTGATTTCTCAAGAAATCTGGGATTGTTGTCAACTTATTAGAAGCCAAAGTCAATGAATCAATTTGAGGAAATGATGAATATGAGGAACTGGTGCCATTATATAAAATCTGCACGCTATTGTACGAAAGATTAATGCTCGAGAGATTTGTCAGCTGTTGTGGACCATTAAAAGGAAAGCCACTGAAATTGTTTGAAGAAAGATCAAGTACTGTAAGCCCTCGAAAGTTAAAGATAGACACTGGTACTTGTCCTTCCAAATTGTTGAAGCTGAAATCAAGGACAATTAAATTGGAAGAGAAGTTACCGTTGGAAAAGTCAGGGAGTTGACCAGAGAAGTGATTTTTGAAAAGGAATAGTTCCGGCAATAAGGGAAGACAAAAGAGAGACAAAGGAATACTCCCCTCGAGTAGATTGTCATTCAACTGCAGTTGCACCAGATTAATAAGTTTTTCCCAGTGAATAGAATCAATCGGACCATTAAACATGTTTGATGACAAATCCAAATAAACCAATTGTGTCAGGTTCCCCATAGTCTTTGGGATCGATCCAGTGAAACTGCACCCCGAAAGATCTATCATGGACAACATTTTGAGGTTGCCGATAGAGTCTGGCAATAAACCTGAAAACTTTGTGAGGGTTAGATCCAAGTGCCGAAGAGATCCATTGTTTGGTAATTCTGGCAAGGAACCATGAAGTTCTTGATTAAGGGAAAGGTCAATAGTTTGTAGACTAGGTATCTGAAAGATCTCTTTGGCAACTAAACCTTGCAACCAACAACCACGGAGACTCAAGAAGCTCAACTTTGATAAATTGGCAAAGAATCCTGGAAGCGGAGCAGAGATATTGTTATATTCCAGTTGAATCACGGATATAGATTGAAGTTTAGCGAGAGGGACTGATCAATAGGACCTGAAAGACCACAATTGGACAAGCTCAACACCTCGAGGTTTGGCAGTGAAGATGATATCGCTTGGCACCACTGGGTCCCCTGTGCTGACAAATCTGCAGCATCTAGATATACCTCTGTAAGCTCTGTGAGGTTCTGAAAGAGCATGCTGAACTTCGGGCTTGTAATGGCTTGAACATAAGAAATATCAAGGACAACCAATCTTGTCAAGAGTGAAATCTCAATAGGAATTTTCCCGGAATATTCATTGTTTGATAAATTTAGATACCTCAAGTTGGTAAGCTTTCCGATTGCTGATGGAATGCTAGAGTCATAGCCAAATCTGTTATCAGCCAAACTTAGGCTTTGAAGATGTTGGAGATTGAAGAGACTGCTGGAATTGTCAATGCCGCCAGAGATAGATTCTCTGCTAAGGTCAAGACCAACAGCACGCCCGTCAGTACTGCAAGTAACACCAAGCCAAGAACAACAGTCGGTACTTGAATTCCATGATAGAACCTTGGTTGGGTATGAATCAAAAGGATGTTCATCAAATATAAGGCTTTTCTTCAAATGGAGCAGTGATAGTTGCTGGTCTTTCATACACTGGTTGAGAACTGCAGGAATGATATTGAAGAATAGGAGGAAGCAACATAGGAGCAAAGTTTTCATTTTGGATAAATTTTTTAGTTTTAGAGACACTAACTGATCAGGGAAAGTGATGAACAACTGGTGGGGAAGAAAGGTTGTGGTGGCTTTAATATTTATGCATGGTCGTCAAATTGAAAATTGCCTCCTCCTAGCTTCTCGTTGCTGCTGGCTTTATTTTGAAGTCTTCCTAATCTATCTGTAAAAATCTGGAAAAATGATATAGCTTTAATATCGTGGAAAAGGCTTCACGAGATTTGTGGTCGGTTTGACTTTGTTGACTTTGAAAATTTTCATTTCGATTGCACTGCCATGCCCGAGATGAGTTAACTTGATGAACAAGAAATGAGCTGTTTAAAGAATTCTGTAGTTTTGGGTTGGGTCATATTGTTACGTAACGTGTGTTAAATTTGATGGGTATTCAAATATTTATATATATAATTCTTCTTGGATTAATTCAAGGAGATAAGAACCGCAAGAGTTTTTTTTAATATAAATTAAAGAGCTTAGATTAGCTATTAGCTATTTGTGTAGCTTCAATTCACATTATCGATGCACGGCTATACGTTTGACAAAATATTACCCTGGATTATGGAGTTGATTTGGGCATATTATTAACTAAACAATTTCAACTAATCTCATAACAAAGATGATTAATATGGTGGATTGGTTCAATTGCGTATGTACCAAACCTTTTGATCTGAAAAAGCAATTTGATAATTGGATTACAAAAGCTGGCCTTCTTTTCATCTTGTATGCTTCAAGAAATTGTTAATTAAATTGAACTGAAAAAGGTTAACGTAGTGGAATAGGATTTGGTTGAACTCTTCAAATGAAACAAAAAATGAATGAAAAGGAGATAATTTTTATGTTTTGAAAGAGCTCACAACTGCATAATATTACATAAATGACTAGGCCACACTTCAACTAAAATGTGACGGCAGAAACACATTCTTATTTGTTGGATCTTGAAATAAAGAAATATTTTTTAGTCACTGGGTTTTCCATAAAAATTCAATTTGGTCACTTAGTAAATTTTTTAGTCAAATTGGTCATCGTGTTTTTCAAAGTTTATAGACATTTTGTTATCTTCAGTTTAGTGTATTTTTTATTTTTATGTTTTTAGGAAGCATTTTCAGTATTCTTCCTCTAACTCAATAAGTTAGGGTATATTGTGCTATTAGGATTTAACAAATTGGGGAAAATCATGGGAAGAAGATAACAAAATGTCTATAAATTGTAACCTTTAGGAAACATGAGCACTAATTTAGCTAAAAAAATTTCTCAATGAACAAATTGGATTTTCATGAAAAACCCAATGACCAAAAAGGTAGAGGGGTGAGCCTAGATATAACATAACATGTACTCCATCTGCATTGCTTCTTATAATCATTTCAAAGCCCCCACCTCCGATTTATGTAAACATGACTTCGATGAATACCGATTCCTTCCTCCAGCTGAGTACTGAAATCATTGCCCGCGCCATGTTGTCAAATATGAACTGAGACTGTGACTTGGTGGAATTGTGTGATTACACTACTAAAAAACTGGTCAAAAACCACAAACTTAAGAGCACAAATATAGCTATGGTGCCCTTTTCTCTAACATTGAGCACAAATAAGTTTATTCATGCTCTTTTCGTAAAAAAACACAAATAATTGTGTCAAATCAATTTATATAAAGCACAAATTTTTATTGGACACAAAGAATTGTGCCAAATGTCAATTTAATGTAAATGATAAATACCATCTGACAAATTATTCAGAAAAAGTAAGATCATTTACTTGTGTAAACACAAATAATTGTGTCTCTATCTGGCAGATTTGACAATGCTAAAACACAAAAACTACATTTGTGCCCAGTTATTTCTATTTTTTTTTACACAGCCCAGTTATTTCCTTATTTCTACTTTTTATCTTCAAAGTTAAAAAAGAACAAAATAAAAAATAAATATGTTTTATTTTTAATTGATAGCAAAGTTTAAAAACACACGCCTCCCCTAATCTTTTCCAACCCTAGAAAATATCTAACCCATCCTTTCTTCTTTATTAAGCCTTCTTTCTCCCCCCAAAAGAACTTGTTAAGAACTTCTCATCGGTTCTCTATCCCCTCCCCTAAAGAACCTCTCAATCGTTCTTCTATCGCATCTACCCCTCTCTCTGTCTCGCTGCTGCCTCCAAATCAGATCCACTCTACTGCCGAAATCTGCAGACTCCATCTCCTTTCATCTTTTTTATTTTTATTTTGATAGCTCTCTCCTCTTATCTCCATATCCTTGAAGTGGAAAATGGAAATCAGACCCTTGCTGTCAAGCTTTGGTGGGTACGGGTTCTCGGCGACTGGGAGATGGGGTTGTCGCGACGGTGGTCACGATTCTAATTCTCCAAGTATTACAAAACCGAGGCATTAGAGACCAAGCAATCCTGAGATGTTCTACAGTACAGCAACCTGTGTTTGATGCCCTATGTTGTTTTTCAATTTTGAATTTCATTTAGGAATGGGTGGGTCATACTCTTACGGAATTTCAATTAATGTTATTCTTACTTGTTTTGGTTGTTTTTGGTTTCTTAAGTTTTATGTATTTAGTGATTTTGGTTGTTTGGTTGTTGTGAAAATATTATATCATTGCATTTGTATGCTATTCGGAATATCTAGATCTACTAATTTGCTGAAATTTCAAATTATTCGTAAATTTTTTTCATGTTTGCAATTTTGGGGTGTAACTTGCTTGAAAAAAAAAAAGGCGGGGTAGTGGGGGTGGGTTGGAATCCAGCCTAAGCGAGTGAGCAACTGGGTTGTAATAAATTTTTTTTTAAATAAAATATATAGCATTGAGCACGCTTCTAAAGTTGTGTCTGTCTAATCAGTTCATAAAATGACTGAGGCAGCTTGTCAGAATACAACCACAAATACTCTTTTTTCGTGCTTTATATTGGCTGACACGAATTTGTGATTCGTGTCCTATAGTAATAGAAACCCCTATAGAAAACACCGTCAACTTAAAGGTCGCTGCACTGTGGCTTTTGGACATAGAGCACAATTATTTGTGTCTCTTGCAGTTAAGCGCACAAATAAAAATGGTGCCCAAAGCCACATATTCTAGTAGTGTTAGTTTATGGGATTGACCAAGGCGACTTTGTCTCTGTCTCTTGGCATGACTAGTTGATTTTGAAGTCTTGCCCTACGTGTCCATTGGTGATTGGCTACATGTTTATTTCCTATTTTCCATTTTTTGGTTACTATCTGGCTGATTAAGGTGATCGATATATATTGTTACATATTGTTACAACTTACAATACAAACACCTCATAGCCAAGTGCAAGAAAACAGATGAGGAGTCACTTTCGCACCCCGTTGCTCTTGGGTTTGCATTATAATATGTATGTTCATGTTGAGTTTTTTTTTCCTGGGTTGAAAGAGGAATTCTCCATAATCTTAGATTGGATTGGTCCTGTTGTGAATTGAGCACAAAACTCAACTCACCCTCCCCTAATGATCTTGTTGTTGATGGACTTTGTGACAAACACAACTATGGATGAATCACACACACTACACTTGAGAAACCAACCGAGCACAAAATGACACAAGAATTTATAGAGGTTCAGCAATTGCCTACATCCTCTTGGTGATCCCCTTGAGAAATTCACTAATGAAAGAATAAGTTACAACTTTGGTTTACAAAGAAACCCCCTTAGAACTCTATTCTCTCCCCAAGCTCTCTTTTCTCTCTCACCCCTTGCTCTACACTTTGATACACTAGAGAACTCTTAAGCCATGATTTGCTTCTTGCATGCTAAACCCCTTTATATAGCCAAATATGCAAGAGTGTGAATGCAACCTCACACTATTCAAATGTTGGCTACCAAACTTAACCATGGATGGCTACCAAACATTCCACCATTTTGTGCCACCAAACAAGTCACCTATTTTTGACAAAGATGGCAAGCCAATATTTACTCACATGGGCAACTCCAAAATTCTTCTAGAAATGAGTCAACCATGTCATGGAATTTAGGTAGAAATCCATAGCACACAAAAGAGGACTTTGTATCCTTAGGTGAGCCAAATTTCCAACAATCTCCACCTTGGCGAACCTTAATCACCTCGTGAACCATTGTTATCCTCTAGAACCTCTTCAACCTCTTAGAAATCGTTCTAGTAATTTCCAAAAGCTCCACCATGGCAATTAACCTCTTGCCTCAATGTACCTTTGGTGGAAGGTGCTCTACCCAAGTCTAAACTTGAGTAACTTGGACCTCCTGTGCAGAAGAGAGATCCCCCATGCCAAATTCGTTGCTCCTTGCCTTCTTGGAACCTTGAATCTTAGACATGCCTTGATATGCGAACCACATACCAAACCTTTGTTCACTAAATCCCCACATAGCCAACCTTGCTCTTGGATTTAAGAACACACTTCTTTTCATCAATGCACCTCTCCAACTTTCCCGCTTCATGCTCCCTATAGCACTCTGAAACGTGGCTGGAACTTCTTGGTCCATCCATCCAAAACCTAGGGACGGTTTGATGGATTCCTTGGGCCCGGACCTTGCATTTGATGATGGCTCCACCTCAAGTAGAACCCCTTTGTGAGTTTGTTGTTGTTGCCTTCCTTCTTCAGCCCTTGTGTCAAGCTCCACCTCAAATGGAGTCCCTTCCATGACCACCTTGGCAAGAAGCTTCTCTTCAACAACATCCTCCCCATCATTCCTTGTCTTGATTTTACCTTTGTGGATATTCCTCTCCACACTTTCTGCAGCTTTGAAATCAAGCACCTTTGATGATGAACCGTTAGTCATACAACCTTGACTAACCTTCCTTGCCCAACTTCTCTTGAGCACACTTGCAGCTACATTATGTTGGACCGTCTCCTTGACATTATGACTTGTTGCTTGCTCTTCCTTGGTACAAATCTCTGCACCACCCAAGAGCTTGTATGTGTTGTTTGGTTGAATCTCCCCCCTCATAACCACAACAGAACCTTGTGTGATCATGAGCTTCCCTCCTTTGGCCTTGTAAGAGCAACC